AGTTGTTGATCCTAGGTTGTAGTGCTGCAACCTGAGTACCACTGAGCCGTGTCCCGAGGATGTCTGTTGCAGCGTCGGCGACGGGCGGGTCAAGGACTTGGAGGCGCGCTGCCACTGACTCCCCTCGTCGGCGGTAGGCCCAGTCGTGGACGCTTGACGATTGTCAGCTCGTCATGAGACACTTGGACTGAATCCTTGATTCAGTAACCTCAACATTATTGTCGGGGCCGCTTCATAGATAGCGCGGGCGACGACGTCGTCAGTGATGGTCTGGTCTCAGGCACTAGGCCTACCTCCTGAGGCCAAATTGGCAACGACAACAAGTGTTCTGCCGAGGGTCTACCTGTGCTGTCCCAGGCTAGCATGGTCTCGAGGACTTCAGATAAGGCCCCTAACCGTGACTGCAGCGTCTGTACAATGGCGGCGAACATATCTGCGTTCACCCCATCTTTCCATGCACAAGGGGCTTGGAAGAATAACTGATAGCCCGACAGCCCAAGGCACTATATATCCACCAAACAGGTGTAGGGTTCGCCTGCGGCGGCGGCGCCGTTCTGCTTGAGCGCCATCACCTCCGGTGCCAGATAGGCAATCGTAAGACTCCCAAGACACCCTCCTAAGACTCCTAGGACCCCCGTAAGACTCCCAGGACACCCCCGTAAGACTCCCAGGACACCCTCCTAAGACTCCCAGGACACCCTCCTAAGACTCCCAGGACACCCTCCTAAGACTCCCAGGACACCCTCCTAAGACTCCCAGGACACCCTCCTAAGGCTCCTAGGACCCCTCTAAGACTCCCAGGACACCCTCCTAAGACTCCTAGGACCCCTCCTACTCCCAGCAAGGTTCAAAACGGAGCCCGCTCAAAGAGCAGAAGCCAAGAATACATGTAGAAGAAGAAATTAAAAAACTGCGCTGGCGTTTGGGCCGTCAGGGTTTTCAGTAATGGTTCGTGTAGTCGTGCCTCTAGCATACGGGAGCTTTGAATAAAGTTTTTTGGAAGGGAAGGAAGACATAAGGTACAGAGGCTTGCAAAACCGCCTTCAACCCAAGTATATATCAAAAAGATTTTTAGTCCCCACAAAACCTGCACCCTGACGGACTCTAGGCCGTATATAGTTAGACTAGCTTAATTGTGAGGGTCCAATCATGGGCAAGATGATCGTTAGCTGAGTATCAGCCTTGTATTGTGTCGCACTTAGGAGCTGTTCGGTCGCACCGCCCTCAAGTTCAAACTCGAGCTTGTTTTGCCCACGCTAATTACCTGCCGGCGTAGAATAGCGCGTTGCTAGCAGCGGTTAGCCGGACCAGCTGACTCGGAGTTGTAGAACTCGAAATTGGGCTACTGTTCGGTTCTGGTGTTGTGTAGCGCAGGCCTTGGCACCGCGCAGAAACTTCAACCTCATCAAATAGGCCAATTTTTGTATATAATTGTTCGTTCCTGGTGTTGTATAATGTCAAATCGTCAAACCCGCGTTAGTGATAGGACGCCGGCGTCCACAGCAGAGCCTACCGCTATACCACTAGTAGACTCTGCTGTCGCATCTGCGGTTGCGCTTGAAGCTATCACCACTGTTCCACTCGTCAGTTTACCAGCGAAGAGGAAGAGGGTTAAAACAGCTCGTGCACTTGCATCGCTATTCCCTTCGCCCACGCCTCCTCCTCCTCCTATTGCTATAACTTGCCGTAGCAAGGCGCTTAAGTGGTCGGACAATATAGTAATAGCTATGTACAACGGCCTGCTTAAAGGCGTGAATATGGGCCTCCGTGCGCAGAGCGGTTACTATTCTAGATGCTGGCAAATTGCAATTAAAAGAGTTTAAGCAGTTACAACGCAGCTAATTAAACTTATGCAGATAAAGTTGAAGCAAGCGGACGGGCGGAGGCTCTGGCAGAGCTGGTGGCCTTATTGCAATTACTCTGGCTGGAGCGTTACAGAAGAGGGTATACCTGTTTCTAACCCTAAGGTTATAGAGGCCAACTTTCTGCAGAATAAATTGCATTATAGATAGCACTATAAGGCGCCTCTCGCGCACGAGCAGATATATGCTCTCTTTAAAGGGATTATAGCAATAGGGTAGTATAGTTAAACTGCTTAACAGGCGCATAAGAGCCTGCGCGGCGATGCGGAGGAGGCTAATATAGAGGAGGCTGCTGTAGAGAAGGAGGAGGAGAAAAAGGTATTAGCCGAAGAGGTAGATAATAAGAAGGACAGTGGTAATATAGAGCTGCCGCGAACTACTACTACTATACTATTAGTTTTTAGTTTAGTAGTATAAAAAGGGTTTACTTTATTATTTTACCCTTTTCCTATTTCTCCTATATTCTCTTAGTTATCTACTCCGGTTACTGCTACTATAATAATACCACGCCTATTAGCCACGCCTAGGCCGCTAGTTATACCTACGCCTAGGCCGTTATTAATTGCCCTACAAAAATAGGCAGTAAAAGTGTTAGCTTATAGTGCGGAAAAGGCTATAAAAGGGAAGTATTTAAAAAAGCTTACTATTACAGAATTAATAGCGGAGATTTCTAAGAAGATTATAGCCTTAAGGTATCTAATAAGGCAGGCAGTTGCTCCACCACCTGTAGCAGTAGTAGAGGATTTCTAGAAAAAAGCAGTAGCGGTGTTTTTAGAGTATAAAGATATTCTTTCTATTAATAAGCAGTTAATAGTATAAAAGGCGTTTAAAGATAATAAGCGGGTAAAAAGCTTTTTTTTAACCTCCGGGGAGCTTTATAATATATAGGTTAGTAAAATTATAGCCTATATAGTATAGTTAAATATTTAAAATAGTATTAAGGCTATAAATAATATTAAAGAGGAGCCTATAGAGCAGGAGGAACTAGATTAGCTAGAAAAAAATAAGGAAATTAGGTCGGCTGCAAAAGGATAAGGGAATTAGCTCGGCTGCAGGAGGATAAGAAAATTAGCTTAGCTGCGCAAAGCTATATAAAATAGATAGATTATATAATATTCTCTATTTTATAGTCTATACTAGACTACCTAAACTAATTTACCTAGACTAGCTATACTATACTAGACTGCCTAGACTATAAAATAAAAATATCCTATAATTTATCTATTTTATATAGCCTTGCGCAGCTAAGCTAATTTCCTTATCCTTTTATAGTTAAACTAATTTTTTTATCCTTCTATAGCTGCTATTATATAATTCTTATCTATAATAAACTACTACTATATTCTAATAATTCTAGTAATATAAAAAAAGCTTCTAGTACTGCTAAGGCTGCTGCCTAGTAATTTACGCGTTTTAACGCGTTAAAAGTTAGCTAATTTCTACTAAATAGTACAGAATTATATTATATATTATAAATTTAGGTCTAAAATAGGGGCGTTTTTTACTATATAGCGCTAAATTCGCTACTACCTAAGCTGCTGCCTAGCTAGTATATTAGTTTTATATTTCTAGATAAAAAAAACGGCTAGGCTATATAAGACTATATAAAATAGATAGATTATAGAATATCTCTATTTTATATATAACCTTAATTCTTTAGTAATAACTTACCTACTATTTCTCCTCTATTTAACTAGCAGTTCCGCACGTACTAATTCTATATAATTCTCGTAAACTAATTATTATAACCCGTAATATAAACAACCCGAGCGCAGAAGTACTTGCGGAGATAAGTAAGTAGATAAAACTAATTACGCAGAACTAGGTTACAGGACTAAAAAGGTTACGTGTAGGATATATAGGGATCCTAGATTCCCCTATAAACTGCTAGTAGATAGGAATAATCTAAGAATAGAATAGGGTTATATAATAGCTTATTAAGCTCGCAGAGAAAAGTAAGTATAAAGCCGAGCAAGCGCTTATCGGGCTTAAGGCGCTTAAGGGCTACGAGCTCTAAGAGCAGAACAAGTAAACGGATTTCTTAGGACAGACTTTTTATATATAAGAACGCTTTTTTATATAGATAGAAACCTTATATTTAACTTAAGACTTTAATACTACCTATTAGAAGTAATAACCCCGTTTTATACCTTAATTAATTATTACCTTACCTTTTAAAAACTATTGCACCCTAATAATAACTTAACCTATACCCTGCCTTAGTATATAATACTTAGAAAGTATAGAAGAAACAACCTGTTATACTTTAAACACCGCTATATTAAAAAAGTCGCATATAAACAATTAATTAGAATAGCCCTACTAACCCCTTTAGGTAGTATAACTACTAAACTAACTTTAATAATACCTAAGGTAGTAATATATATACAGGTATTGCTTATACAACTATAAATACTAAAAGAAGCTAGCAATACTAAGAATAAGAAGATTGCGGCCCTATAGGGAAATTTTTAAACTATCTAAGAAAAGCTTACTACTAGTAGAATAGTTAGCTATAGAGGCTATAAAATAAATAAACCCGAAGAGTTTACTAGGGAAAAAGGAGCCTTGCAAGCGTTTATAACGCAGATAAGGCTATACCTGCGCATAAACTAAGGCAACTTTAAATTTAAATTAGATAAGGTCTATATAGCAGCCACCTTCTTAAAAAAAGAAGCGTTTAACTAGTTTAACCCGATGCTTATAGACTAGCTTAGCAACGCCGACGCGGATAATCGGAAACTAGAAACTAATATTATATTTAGCAACTATAAAAACTTCGAAGTAGCACTTTAGATAACTTTTGGAGACACTAATAAAAAATAAACCGCGGAATAGAAAATTGCAGTTCTAAAGCAGAAGGGCTTAACTAGCTGCTATACTTTAGAATTTATATAAACCGCGTTTAAGCTATTATAGGAAGATAAAGCTCTATAAGTATAGTACTATAGAGGTCTTAAAAAAGATATTAAAGATAAAATTGCACGAGGCGAGAGGCCTTTAATACTCTATAAACTTAAGGAAATAGCAATATAAATTAATAGTTAACAGTATAAACAACAACTAGAATAGGTAGATAAAAGGGGACTTTATTCCTACGCCTAACTAGCTAGACTAAAGCTAAGAGTAACTAACTATAACTATAGAAATTGCATAGAGATTAATATTATAAAACAACGCAACTACTAGAAAAGTAGACTAATTACTAATAAAAAAAGGTAAAATAGAAAGTATAACAGCGCATGCCTACTATATAAAGAATAAGAATACTTTGCAAATAAGTGCTCTAGGAACACCTAAACAGCAGCAGTTATAGTAAAGCTAAATATAAACTGCTATAATTCTATATTATAGACCGCGTGCTATAATAATAACTGCTTTACCTATTAGTTAGATAAGCAGGTAATAGGGTACTATCTAATATAAAGGGCGAGGGGATATACTATTACTATAATAAGAAATAAAAAGTATAATAGCAATCCTATAGATAACTACTATACAGACGTAAAAGTTAAAAGTATAGAGATTAACTACCTATTAGAAATAAATAAGGCGTTCTAGATAATTAAACCGTAATTAAAACCCTAAATTAATATACCCGAGCTATAGGATAATAGCAAAACTAAGTTACTAAATATAGAAGTATAGGTTAACAGAGTTGTAGCCACGTATAAATAAAGCGCAAGAGAAATTCTCGCACGCCTTAATAAAGGATAAAAAGCGCAAAAGGCTAAAAACGCTACAGCGGGCGCAGAGCTAAAAGCACTAGCTAGTTACTAATTCCTAAAAGCTATAGGAAGAGTTATAGAATAGCTTGCTAGAAAAGAAAAAGTAAGAATAGCCGCAGCTGCAGGGATATTAACAACAGCAACTATTAGCGCAAAAACCCGCGCAGGATTAGATATATTAGAAGGCCTAAGCCGCAATATCTAGTAAGAACTAGATAATAAATTACCTGTTAAGGATAGTAAAAAGTACTATAATAGTAATAAAAACCGCAAACTAGAGGAGTAGTTTAGTAATAGAGAATTTAGTATCGGACTAAAGTAAGAACTGCTAGAGCTATATAGAAAATAAACTAAAATTAAAATCTACGGAGCTTTACACCCTATTAGTAAAACAGGTGTCTATAATAAGGAAAATAAATAGCTGGATAGAAACCACCTACTTTATAGGCAGATATTTTAGGTATTATATATCGAAAACAAATGCAATAAGCACGTAATATATAAGAAATATCGAGGATAGTACCTATATTAGATAAGATATTATATTATTACATAACTAGTACTGTTTAAGGAAATAGAACACTATATTATAAGTAAGAAAAATAAACTTATAAAAGTAGCTACTATAGTTCCAGACCTTTAGTACCTAATAGAATATAGGAAAGGTAAAAACTGGCAAATATACTACTAGGACTTATATCTAGTATATTGCAAAATAAAACACGCGAACTATTAGCTATAAAAACAGCTAAAAAACAAGCAGGCGCTTAAGTAAAGGAACGGCCAGAGCAGCTAAGAATAAAGTCCTATAGAGCAGCTACGGACAAAGGAACGCGAACCGCAACTATTGCTACTTTAGTAGGAAAAGCCTATATTATAGAAAAAGGAAAAAACCCGGCAACGCAGCCTAACTCTATTCCTATTTAAAACTATAAATATATAATCCTATCGGTTAAAATTAGTAGAAACCCGGCGAGAGTACTGCTAGACAGTAGCGCGCAGGGAAATTTTATATTCTATAACTTTATTAGAAGAAACCGGATTTCTTAGCGATAGAAAAACAGACCTTATAGACTATATATAGTAGATAGCACACCGGTGTTATATAGATTAAAAAATATAGAGAAACTATTAGTATAGATATAATAAACACGGTAAGATATAATATAATCTTAGGTATACTATAGCTAAAGCAGTATAACCCCTAAATTAATTAGAAGTCTAGTAAAGTAAGGATCTAATCGGAAAGCAGACTAAAAAGCACCCTGCACTAGGATAAGCCTAAGTAAAAACAAGATGTTAACACAGATACCTTAAAAGGTAAGAAAGCCTAAAAAGAAAACAGGGCAGTAAGCTAATAGTAGCCTAGACCCCTAGGTAGCCGGTAGTTAGCTAAGGCAGTAAAAGTACTAGACGTGCTAGAAAAATATAATAAATTTAAAGAAATCTTTATAGAAAAGGTTTAGAATATATTACTAAAGTACTAACCTTAGGATTACTATATTCCCCTAGTACTAGGCGAATAACTGCAGTTTAGACTAATCTATTTACTAGCCTAGAGCGAGCTGGAAGTACTAAAAGAATACCTAGAAAAGAACCTAAAGCAAGGATTTATTAGACTAT